TTATCACACCATCCTCTGAAGAGGTTACCCAAATTGCCAATAAGGAATCGGGACACAGACCGCTCTGGCTTCTTCCATGCTGAACAGTACGCAGGGTGAGGCAAATGGGGTCTATCTAAGACTCCCAAATTGCATAACTCTCATCTCAAGGAGGAAAAGAAAGTCTTCAAATCGTGAATAGGAGATGCAAAGGAGAAGTAAAGGCAAGAGGAATTAGCATTACAAGTTCTAGACAGGAAACACAACCAGTGTTCTTAACCGCTGAGCCATCTCTCCAGCCCCCCTAGTGATAATTTTTTTAAAAATGAAATTCTTCTGACTGAAGATTTATTTCACATATCACAAATCCAGAAGTGCCCATAAATGATTCAATAATGCTTAAAGATATTTTACATACATTTATTTTATACTGTAACAATCTTGAAATATGTTTAAAAAATACTTCAACCCACTTAAAGTCACATACTTAACTTCTTTTACTCTCAGACTCAAAAACATAGATTTTATTAAAGTTACCAATGAGATTTCAATTTTTCAAATTCCTCAGATTTGATGTTAGTATACAGGCCTATAAGGAAATGACACTCCAAAGGTAGTATTTTAGATGGACAAACTATATTAACAATTAGATGCTCTTTTTTGACAATGCATGAAATAAGTTCTTTGAAACAAGCTACATGCGGCCCTCAATACAAATGGTGAGAGAGTTACATAGAAAATGCTACAGGAACACCAAGGAAAGAGTAATTAATTCCATCTGGAGAAGAAAAGCCTTCACAGATAAGGGCCTTGAGTTAGGACTGAAAGGTGACAGCAACTCCAGGCAGTCGGATGAATGGTGGTGCCATTAGCCCAGACAAAGTGCATAGATGCCTATCGCTATTCAGTGAGGCACATGCCATGTTCTTTAGACAAAAACTCAAGATTCTTAACATCTGGTCCATATTAAAATTATAGCCCCATAAATAGGAACAACTATGGATTAGACTGGGATGTTTATTTAAAACCCACTCAACAAGTAATGTTTTAAGACCTGCTTCTTAGAATACTAAACCTTAGTAATTTAACTAAAACCTGTAATTTAATAAATAGAAAATAACACAAAATATAATTCACAATAATACAAAATATAAGCTCACTATACTTAGTTTGCTCTACTCACAGGCTTTTTCTTTAATTTACTTAATTTAGCATTTCAATAAAATGTAACAAAAACAAACCTTTTAAAAGATTACTTCCCTTTTTAAGAGGAAAATACAGAAAAGAGCATCCTAGTAGATGCACATGCTCCTCTAACAACAACGTTTGTTCGATAATTTGGAGGGATCACCTGGGTCTAACTGGACATTTCTCATGGTCTCCAGCAGGATAAGTATGCTTAAGCTTATAGGCTCATAAGAAGGCAGGCAATGACTATGAGGGCATCATAGGATAGTGATTTTAATAATCTCCAAAGTTACAGCTCTCGTAATCCCTCTAAAACTAAGCTGTAATTTTAAGTGAAAGAGTAATAAAAGATGACTTGACCTGATCATTTTGCTTCATGCTACTCATTCTTTCTGTGCAAGTCACTCCCCGGAATAAATAAACTACATACACAAGTAATAACTGCTCATCTTAATATATCCAGCACATGCAGAATTTATATATATGTATGTCTCTGTGTGTGTGTGTGTGTGTGTGTCTGTGTGTATGTATACATTTATACATATACTTTTTTAGTATATATATTTTTTCAGTGCTGGGGCTCAAACCCAAAGCCTTAAGTGGAAAATGCATATTTAAAAAGGTTAACTATGTATTTCCACAGTTGAGCAGGTCAAGGAACTCTTAAGAATAGAACTCTAGCAGAGTCACAGTTTCCCCCAAACTCCACCTGCCAAGAAGGAACACTATTGGGAGCCAAAAGCTGGAGGTTCAGGAAGCAGTGGGTACAGTGAAGGGTCTGTGAACAGAAGGGCAGAGCAGAGGATAAGACTATGACAGAGTGGAAATTACAAGAGAAATATAATTACTTGCCTTCCAAACCCCAATTTTCCTTTCATGCTTCTGTAGTAAAAGTTCATCTGCTATGTCTTTCATTTGTAGCTAAAAGCAAAATAAATTATTTTATCAACTTATTCAGAATATCCAAACTTTGAATCATTTTAGTCTTTTAATAGTTTAAGAAATGAGGTAAAGGTCAGGTTGATAAAGTGCCACTTAGGAGGTAGAAACTCAAACTGAGAAATAGAAACCCTGCAGCCAGGGTTTGGGTTGAGTTACTCATCCTCCAAACCCAGTTTCCTCATTTGCTGGGGACAGTAACACCTAACTGCACCGCGCCAGACCACAATGACAGTTTCACTTTGGCTCACATCGGAACTGAGACTGTACAGCTCATTATGGCTTCTCAGATCCTTATGCCATTTTCTAGCCATTGGATTTTTCCACAATAAGTTTTAGAAGAGTCCCAAATACTTTTATCACATGGGAATGGAGAAGATATAGTACCCTCTGTATCCAGTGGGTTCTGCACACATAGCTTTAACTAACCTCAAATGGAAGATGTTCAAATAAAGAACTCATCTCTTCTGAGCCTATACAGGCATTTCCCCCCTTTTCTTTATTTTCTAAGAAATGTAGTGTGACATACTTATATAGTATTTATACTGTCTTATGATTTTACAAGTAGTTTAATGAGGGTATGGGAGAATGTATGTTGTCATATGCAAATGCTACATTTTTTACATGAGGGACTTGAGCATTTTCAGATACTTAGCACCCTATGGGTCCTCCCTGGATGTCAAGCAACAACTGTATTTTAGAGTTACTGATTATATTACTTCCCTTTTCTGAGGAACAACTCTTGCCAAATCTGTGTTACATGTCTCTAAGTTTGTTGTCCACTGCAGACACGCCTAACAGCTGGTCTAAAGAGACCAGTACTAGAATCACTGAGGCTATCATTTTAAGAACAATGCTGCAGTTTGACCTGAGGGATTCATGCATGCTAGGCAAGCTCTGTGCCACTAAGATACACACTCTACCCTGATTCTTTTTGACAGCCACAATCCAGAGGAAAAAGATGTGATCTTTCCTGCTAAACTCTCAGGATTATCCTTGCCTACATCTTTTCTAAAGCTTGGGTATCAGCTCTTCCCCAAAGCATCATTTTATAAAGAATTCTCACCCTCCTTTTTATCCTTGGCTGAAGACTGCTAGAATCAGTTTGTTTTGCTGACCACCCAAGGAATGCACATTAGGAAATGGCTACAAGTTATAATAACACGACTGTGGTAAAGATAATGAGGAAATGTGTAAATATATCAGTAAGCCAAATGTCACTACTTGGTTTTGGATGGAGAACTGGAGTTTCCCTCAAGAAAAGAAATGAGGAGATAGGAGTTTTCCCAAGCTTATTTCCAGAAACATTCTGTCTAAAACAGGCCAACTCTTCTCCACACTATAAATTCTGTGTTCCAACTACACTGCTTTTTTCCTAATTTGTTCAGCTCAAAAGACCAAGGATATTTTCAGATAAGTTTGCGTCAAAGTGTTTGATAAATTGAAAATAATCCAGAGAGAAGTCTTTTCAGGTTCTTTCTGATCAGTATTAATGATATGTGTGTTTAAAAACCAAAATTACACAAGATAGTTTTCCTCTTTTTAGATAAGCTAATGATTTTCAATGACCAAAGTAATATTTGCTTCATATAAATAAAAGCAAAACAACAAAATACTAAAACTTTACAAAATAATAAAAACCTCCTTCTCCAAACCTATTCCTCAGGAGGTAGGTATTTTCACATCTTTTCCCATAAGCATACACAAAAAGATAGAAAGATGAATGGATAGATAGGGAGATGGATATGCATAGGTGTGTATGAAGCAACAGAGACAGAAGCAGATACAGTAAGACTGTCTTCTATCTATTGCATCTTGTTTGTTTCACTCAAGCAGTAGCATCTCTCATTGCAGTGCATGTGGACAACTCTTTTTTAATATTTTAAAATCTCATTCTCCCATGTGATCCTGCAATGAATGCTCTTGCGCATCTGTATGAAGACTTAATATTATTAATGATACTAATTACATTAAGAGATATTTGAGTGTTTGCTGTGTGACAGGCATCTTTCTAAGAAAGATAAGCATGCATTCATTTTCATTTTTACAATAATTTTATGGAACAGTTATGCTGTTATTGTTGTTTTGAGGTGGGGTCTTACTCTGTAGCCCTGCCTGGCCTGGAACTTACAGTGATCCTTTTGCCTTTGCCTCTAGAGTGGTGGGATTACAGGTGTATGCTACCATGTCCAGTGAAATTATTAATAACAGTCCCAGTTTTCAAATGAGTAAATTAAATTTATGAGACTCAAAAGCAGTAGAGTAAATGCATGGCAAATATTGAGATTAAAAATTGAGAAACCTGATGCCATGTTTCAGCCAACATTCATAGAACTACGATTCTGGTCAACAGGTACTCCCAGAAGGCTTTGCTAGGTACTGCCAATGGCTACACAAAGACGATGCTAGTTTATGTACCTTTATCTTCTGACGTGCTGCAAACTGTTCACTTGCAAGGAACAATGGCAGCCACACATTTTCTAGCCTATTCAAGACATGTTTCTGAATTTCCACCAGAACAGGTGCATCAAGCTGCTCGTGGAGAATCTTCCCCCAGCCACCACTTAAAAGCATTATCTAAGAAAATAAAAATGAAACAGAAATATTACACTATTGTTTTGTTAAAGAAACACTAATAGTCATTGATTAATTGATTCATTCTGAGCTTTCTGCAGCATACCTGAGAGGTGCCACAGTTTTCATTTTTTAAGTAGTACCTTCTGGCTGGATTGTACAGAGCACTAACAGACAGTATCAACAAAGAATCATGGTTCATGTGGAAGTGGTCAATGCATGACTTCGCTCACTACAGAATACTGAAAGGAGCACAGGAGGTTGTTTTTTGTTTGTTTGTTTTTTCAGTGTGAGTGCCACACATGCATGAGGTAAATGTTCTGCCAATGAGCTGCATCCCCAGCTCCCAGAAGTGGGGCTTGCATTCTGTGACCAGGAACATCAGCATCTTTCCCTCCATGGTCTCAATAACTTGGAGGGTAGTGATCTCTTCCTCTTTCAAGTTCTACTCTGGATCTAACATTCTTATGCATAAATGATTTAGTCAAATTTAAGAAAAAATTTTTATTGAAGATGAAGAAAATGAGGCATCAATTAGCTAAGAGATAATCCTGGCATAAATATACTAGAAATATGTATTAGCAACACATGTTGGCTTGGAGATAGCAGGGGACAGTTGTACAGCCGGTGTGACACTGCTCTGACAACTTTTAGGAAGAAAACTGAGGCAATAGGAGGTAGAGGAAGGTCACATTCTACAGTTACTAGTCAGATTTGCATAGGGAGCAGCATTAAAAAAACTGTTTGTGGCCCAAATTTTTCTGTAGCATCTTTGTAGTAGCTATTTGTGACTGTAAATCATTTTGTTTTCTACCTGTTTCTGTGTTATGTTCAAAATTCTGCTCACTGGAATAATCCTTTATTTAGTTTTCCTAATGATTGATAATATTAATAAAATACCACTGCTAATTTTTTGTTTAAAAACAAAGAAGAGGGGCTGGAGAGATGGCTCAGCGATTAAGAACACTGGTTGTTCTTGAAGAAGTCCCGGGTTCGAATCCCAGCACCCACATGGCAGCTAACAACTGTCCATAATCCAATTCCAGGGGATCCGATGGCCTCTTCTGTCCTCCATGGGCATTGCACGACACAGGTACTTACCTACATGCAGGCAATACACTCATACACATAAAATAAAAATAGTAAATAAAATATAAAAACAAAAAACGAAGAAGAAATCCTCTTAGTCTTCTTTAATAATATTAAATAATAAACAATAGCATTTCTCTTTAATGAAACAAAAAGACTAACTTGCTGGTTCCACAACTGAAGTTGGGACTAGGAAGATCTTTAGAAAATTTAGCATGGTTCAAGATCCTCTGTAAAATAAGTAAAATAGTAAAAGCAGAATGACAAAGATGAGCAGTCAGCAGGAAAGCTCTGTTGATAGCGATGGGCAACTTTTCCCACTGACTTCTAAATACTATGGAGGGTTCACACAGTAGCATCAGATACCATGAAACCTCATGCAGCTGTAGCACAAGCCAAATAGAAAACAAATGCTTCCCATGTGTTTATTTCTACTTGTGCTTATTGAGATACCAACCACTTTTGCTAACTTGTACCAGATTTGTATCTCTGGGAACTAACAGGAAAGCATTTTTGTCATAGTTGTTTTGTTCTAGAATTGCATCTCCCTCTTATAAGATTCTTACTTGTTCTACCTCCACCAAAGATATGACTTGCTAGTTTGGTTTGCTCTACTCATGAATATTTCTGTTTTTTTCCCTTTAATTTACTGAATTTAGCATTAATCTGGAATTTTTTATAAATGTGTATCATTAAGAGTATGCATCTTTGGGGCTGGAGAGATGGCTTGGCAGTTAGGAGCACTGGCTGCTCTTGCAGAGGACCCGGGTTTGACTACCAGCACCCAAATGGTGGCTAACGACCATCTGTAACTCCAGTTCCAGGAGATCTGACGCCTTCTTCTGACCTCTGTGGGCACTGCATGACATGGGTGCACTTACACACATGCAGGTAATATACTCATACACATAATAAAAATAATAAATAGAATATTAAAAAGAGGTAAGCTCCTTGTAAGCTCCTAAAATTAATGAAAACATACACTGTACATTTGATCTTCAGATAGTAAAAACTATAAAATTATATCTAGCTCTAAATTTCAAAAGAATAAATATTGAGGCTTACTGCATAAGATAAAATTATAAGAACACTCAAGCTCACTGTGAGTCACAATCAGATAATTTTTGTATAACTCTGATGACCCTATTGTTTTTAGTAATCTATAATCAAGGCCATACACTGTGACACCTCAAAGTGATTATGTCTATGTTCCTGGTCAATGGAAAGTTCCTAGGGATAAAATAATTATAATAAGAATTTTCCAAGATCAAATATATTTTGAGTAATAGCAGCTAAGAGAAAAGAGGTAGAAATTAGGCTTAATGGTTGGGTGGTAATGATTGTTTTCTACTGTTGAAGGTGCAGGGACCTTGTCTATACTGAGTCCCACTTTGTCCTGAGCACCTGAAACAGTGTCTGACACACTAAAGGCATTCATATCATTCAGTGAATGAATGAATGAATGATGAATTCAAATAGATTTAAAGCTGTGATTGCTCTCCTTATATTTATGAACAATGTCATGAATAGACTAAATGCTATTTCATTCAATAATTTTTAAATGACATATTTTATAACTTGTGCTATCTGAGTGAACTTTAGATATTTATAGGTACTTGTGAATACCCAAATAAAATATCTAAAGTATCTAGCCATAAAGGCAGAGAGAGAGAGAGAGAGAGAGAGAGAGAGAGAGAGAGAGAAACTTGCAAGTTGTTGGCAAAAAAGAAACAAATGTCTGTTTTACATATTCATACCTGGTTCTGTTGATATAAAGAAGCTGGACTGTTGGGTCCAAAGAAATATTTCTTATTAAGGTATTTGTTTTTAATGTATATAGATTTTGCTTCCCTTTGCCTTCGGTCTTTAAAAAGTATTCTTCGGAACTGTTCGATGTCTGTCCAGCACATAAGGTCAATGCTGGAAACAGAAAAATAGAGCCTTTTTTATTTGTTTCTCTAAATGCAATGAAATAATGAGCAAGCCATTTTGACAGAACTCAGAAAGTGGCCATCTTGATTAGCTAGCGCATCTGAACAAATCGAGGAACTTAAGTGAGCACATTGCCGTCTCCAATCCTAGTGCAGCTCCGTTAGCTTCACTCTGGATTACAATTTTCATCCTTGTTAAATAAGAGATTACTGATGAAGAACATTGCTAGTCTTGTTACTGGTGGTGTCTCAGAGTTCTTCATTAATAACAGACTAGTGTCATCAATTTCAAATATGGGGAAAATGCCACATATAGCATGCCCATTTAATAACACGTCAAATTCAGAATAATTCTCATCACAATGAGAAGAAATTACATGAGTGAAATTTGCCTCCCATTTCTAACCACTTTCTGTTAACTTGAGAGAAACATGTAATCAATATTTTGGTTTATATTAGATACATTTCCAAAACTACAATGTTTTGTTTATATATTAGTTAATAAAATTGTGAACTATTACAACAATTTTTTAAACAACTTAGTGAAATACGAGACATTTTCCAGAAATACTAAAGTTCCTGTCCAGAGAAATATAAAATAAACAGCAGAAAAAAGAGAATCCATACTGGTGTTTAAAGCTAGTAATGCTGAAAATACCAACAAATAGTACATAACCACCTACAATAACACTTTGGAGACTGCTGCAGTGATAGGCACTCTAGCAGCCAAAGAGACGTTCAGACAGATTTCAGCTATTTCTGCTCATCGGTTTTTCCTGACACAGTAAAGTCTAGTAGTGCCAGCTCATCATTACACCATGTTGAATCAAAGTCAGTAACTCAAGAAAGATTTAAGGGAGAAACATATTAAAAATAGGCATTTCCTCACCTTGAAGAATGAGATTCAAGAAACTGACGGAAATGTTCAAATTCTAGCTTGTTGTTAAGTAGATCATTAAAGCTAAACTGCTTGTACTCCTCAGGAACATTATTCCAATACTCTGTTTGTTTAGAGACATCAGAGAGTGATAATATACCAGTTCCAGTTCCAGTTGTGTCCTAGTGGTAAAAATAGTTTCACAATATCTCTTATAAATGCAACAAATTATTTACAATTTTAAACAGAGAAACTGAAAGAAAAATTAGTTATTCAGCTGATTAACATTTGGTAAAACTGGAAACATAATCTAGATGGTTAATATTCTGATTCTTAAATTCTTAACTGTTCCTTTTTCACTCATTCCTTTTTTGTGACTAGTAAACATTTACTGGACATAAATAAAGCACTGTATGTGTGTGTGTGTGTGTGTGTCTGTCTGTCTGTCTGTCTGTCTGCCTATTTGAGGGTGCACATTCATGTGGATGCCTATGTGTGCAAAGCACTTGTTTTTGAAGTCTTAGTTTATTCCATTTCTTAGTAATGGAGAAATGTCTTCTGTAATAAAAAACTAAAATTGTAAAGAATACCATCATTGAGAGAGAACGTCCATCAATATGCTTACATAGGCTCTTAGTTTTTATTATAATACATATGTAATTTATTAAAAATGAGTATTGGTTTATATATCTATGATTCTATAATGAGATTCTTTTCCTTAACCACATATCACATAAAAATTACTCCATAACAATTTTTAAAGTTATAAAGTAATGCAAGCTGAAAAGCCATCTGAAACAGACCCACTCATAACTATCTTTAACATTTTGGTGAACATCTTTTCAGATATCACTTTTTGCATATATGTACACATGTATAAATACGTGTAACTTTATAGAAATATGATCCGACCATACTAGTTATCTTTTTCCATGTATTTTTATATAATTGTATGTCCTAGACATATATTTCTAGGTAATTTAACTACTATTTTTATATAGCTGCATACATTTAATTTTATGGTTTGATGGATTTATCATGATTCATCTAATCAATACAAAAGTTGCAAATTTGAGCTGGGCATGATGGCACATCCCTGTAACCCCAGCACTCAGTAGGTGGAGGCAGGAGGATCAGGAGCTCAGCTACACAGCTAGTTCAAGGCCAGCCTGAGTTACTTGAGATTACCTCAAAAAAAGTTGCAATTTTGTAACTCAAAATTATACTTTAATATTCTAATTAATCCTATAATCTTTTTATTGACTTGTCCAATTCTCTTCCATATTTTTCATTCTTTCTTTTTGTAATCTGTTGCTATGGCAGGCTAGTTTCTTTTGGTTCAGAAAGTGCAATTTATCTCTTGTGATTTGATAGCAATTCTAGCTGTTGACACAGAAGATAACTGGTATGTCTTAAGGGACTATAATATGGTTTAAGGCTCAGGTTTCTGGTAGTAGGTAAGTAGAACAAGTAGCTTGGTTCCCTTTGTTACTTTATCTACTGTTTTCCTAGCTCTGTTAAATATGTCAGCATAACATATCACTGCTGAGTTCAGCATGCTAGGCAAAGGCGCAGCAGGAGTGTGACACTTCCTAATCCTAAATTTACTTATACCTGATCTCAATATAAGATTTCTTGCCACAGAATAAAAAATGGTAACAGTGTCTAGATATAAAAAGTGTCTTTCTAAGCAGAGAGCTGTTTTACCTCAGTTTTCTTAAAAATTGTTTCTTTATGCAAAGCCTGCAACTTCCTGAAGTATGTGGAGTCTAGCTGCCGAGTCTCTTCTTGGAGTTCCACCTAAGAAACAGTAAGGCTTATAACATTAACTGAATGTGCATTCTCAAAAAGTAGGAGGAGGAAGACAGAGGTAGAATTTACCAAAACAGCAGGCTTTTACCAATAGGGCAAAATGCTTCCAGGGCCAAAGCAGAAAGCCCTATATAGTTAAAAATATCAGCTATAATGAAGTCACATGTCAAATATACACACTAAACAATGAACACATTTCTATTTAATGACATGGTGACATCAATGATCATCGTGCTGGGACCCACAAACAACGTAAATATATTGATCACATTTTCAGTTTCTAATCAATATGAGTGAATTGATTGTTAACTTCATGAATGAATCATGAAGAAGGTAAACACTGCTAGCTTTATGAATCAAATACTTCACAGAAGAACAAGAAAATCCTATATTATTACTAGTCTGTGAGGAAATGTTTTATTATTATAGCAAAAGAGGAAATAGTTGATCAAATTCCTCCTCAGAGCAGGTCTGTCTTCCTAGCACATAATGCATTATTTTCTAGTCAGGAGGACAAGACCACTCTCTAATTCTCTATTGGAGGGAAAACCTAGTTTGACTGGTTAACTGCCTGGGAACTTTCTATATTTAATAGCTAGCTTCGGTAGTCTGATTGAAAATCATTCTGGGGAAAGAGTCTAAATAATATAGTCAGATGGGCTTTTAGAGTAGTCTTCTAGGCTGAAGTTAAGGAAGATTCTAGAACTTAGATTTTTACCCTCATTATTAAGAACAGTATATAGGAGCTGAAGAAATGACTCAGTGGTTAAGAGCACTGGCTGCTCTTGCAGAGGACCCAGGTTTGAATCCTAGCACCCATCTGATGGCTAACAACTATCATGTAACTCTAGTTCGAGGGATCTGATACTTTCTTCTGACCTCCACAGGCATTCTACAACATAGGTGTACTTACACACAGGCAGGCAATACACTCATACACTAAAATAAAAATAATAAAGGATTTTAAAAATAACAGTATAAAACTTCCCCTATGAATTTTTATATAAGATTTATTTGCTAATGCCAAAGTATTTTGGTTGAGGGAAGTTAGTTATAATTTCAAATTTATTTTACAATTAAATGATCTTATATACTTCATATTTATTTCTTCTATAAAATATAGTATATATTATGAGTAAGAGAAAAAATTTAAATGCTACATGCTGTTCTAATTTTTCTAGAGTAATATATACATTTTTATAGTAAAAAGATGCTATGCTAATTTTTTAGAATAGTGAGAATTAAGGAATGAAAGTTTAATTATTTTGGACACTGAATTTATTAAGTTCTTAGAGTTGTTTTAGTCACAGTCCAATAAGGTAAGTCTAGCCAAGTGTTTTGGTATTAATTTTATCATAATTACCTAACATCCTTCTTGGTAGAAGACCCAAAGTCCTGGGGTAGATATGAATAAAAAATAGCAATACAACAGTGATCCTTCCAGAAATGACCTCACACAGAGGACACATGCATTAACCCAAAAGAAAAAAACAAAAAACGGAAAAAAAATCAAGTACAGTTTTGATTTGTGATTCAAAGTAAATAAAAAAGTTTCTTCATCCATTATTAATAAAAATGAAACTACTCAAGCACTGAGACTTTGCATGACGTCTTCTGGACCTAAAAGGTTGTACGTAAACCTATCCAGTCAAGCAATATGACTTGATGAACATCTGGTGCTTTAAATAGAAGCACTGAGGGCAGAGGACCTGCTTTGCACAATGCCTGGAAAACATTTACATCTTCTATGGTGTGATATTTACTGTCAACCTTCCAGCAGAAAATGAAACAGGACTTTTCCATTAGTCAAAATTAAGACCACTGCTGAGAAATGTCAGGAAGGGACAATACCAATATATTATCATGGCACATTTTGCTGGTTTATAGAAAGCAAAAACTTGAATTTCTCTCCTCTAACATTTGTACAGAGAACTAAAAATGGCAAATATTAAATCTTTTGTCAGGAGACAATAGGAAAACTGGCAAAAAATAAAGTTAATAAACATTGTCCCTGCATATGCCCAACCAAATCTCGACTGGAAAGCCGTGGCCCACAGGAGACTTCTCAGGTTTCCCCTGCCAGCACCTTCATCAGCACCATACCTTTCTGTAAGCCACTTGGTCCACTGTCACCATCTCTGTCCAGGGCTCCAGAAGGAGGAGAAGGATATACTCTTCTGCTGTGTCAAAAAGGTCTTCAAATGGTGGCTGGATTTGCATATAAATTTCTTTCTTCCTTTCCTGTTCAAGTCCAATGTCAAGAGCGGCTGACGGAGCAACATATGTGGCAAAAAGATACTAAGAGAGGAGGAGGAAGGACAGAGAGGGTGTTGTGAGAAACCATGATGGTTAGCAAATATACTGGCAAAGATGGGCAAAGCTACACCTGGCAAAGCAATGTGTTTATTCAGTAGATTGTTTTCCTTTTCTTTTTAATTATATTTTTATCAGAAATTAGCAATTATTTTCTCTGATGACAAAAATCTAAAGATATACTATGACTGACTGGGGATTATAAGCCTCTGTTTTGTGTTACTTTCCAAAGTGATATTTTTTTCTCTTTTATGGTACTGGGGATTGAACTCTGAATGCTAGGCAAGTGCTGCCAGGCAAGTGCTGCCAGGCAAGTGATGCCAGGCAAGTGCTGCCAGGCAAGTGCTGCAGGCAAGTGCTGCCAGGCAAGTGCTCTGCCACTGAACCACACTCTTTCCACTCTCCATATTCTCAGTGCCATATCCTCCCATCTCCCCACTCCCCTCACCCTCACCCCTTCTTTCTAAACTGCTTTAAAATATCCTTTTGTAATACAGTTTGTAATCTCAGCACTCAGGAGGTGGAAGCAGAAGGATCATTAGTTCAATGTCATCCTCAGCTACATAGTGAAGTTGAGGCCAACCTGGGCTAGGACACTGTCTCAACTAAAAAACATCCTTTGAGAAACAAAAAAACAAGAACATACAGAGCTGAAAATCTGGCTACTAGTCTTTTAGTGCAGACATCAAACAGATTATCCATCTGCCTCACCTAACTGTACTGGAGAGTTCTGAAAATGGCGAATTAACCCTTTCTAGAATAAAATGTCTCCATCTGGTGTCCAAAGCTGTAGAAGGGATACAAGAGGGTGAGAAGATGAACAGGAAAAAATACACAGAACTTCCAGCAACCTCCCACAAATGTCCATTCTACTCATTTGTCTTGTCACTCAATAAAAGCTATTTCTATCTGAGAAACAATTTAATAACATTTTTGTATCACCATGCCCTGAATATCAGAGTTAAGAATATTTTTAAAGCTGCTCCTCACATACATACATCAGACCTACAGGAACAGAAGAGGTCATGGTGGAGTGCAAGAGTCCAAGGGAACTGCCAGGAAAGGACTCACAACCTCCCCTCCCCAAGAGGTCAGAACCTCAGGAACACAGAGGATTCAGACACCAATGGCTCCCAATCTCCCTTCCCCTGTACAGTATAGAACCTGCCAAGGCCAAGGTTCAGAGAACTTCACCTTTTACCTCAGCATAGTTGTGACAGCAATTTATTCCTTATGTATTTTTTTTCTTATCTACTTTCCATTCTTGCATCTATGTCTCAGGACAGTTTTGCATTTGTTTGTATATTGTTGCTTAGTTAGGTACAAGTGTTTATCTTTATGTTCTCCACTGTTTACCATTAAAGCTTTCGTACTACACTCTCCAGCCTTCTCCAAAAGGATCAAGGACCTCAACATAAGACCCAGGACTCTGAAACTCCCAGGAGAAAAAGTAAGGAGTACATTTCAAGATACAGGCATGGGTAAGGACTTTCTCAGTAGGGCAACTATGGTTACCTCCACAGGACCTGCATAAGATCAAGCCAGTCAAAATTATAACATGGATAGGGAAAGTGCATGAGGCTTCACCCCTAACTGTGGAGTTATTGGCAATTGATGGCTACAGGGGAAGGGAGAGTCATTATTCTTTGAGAATGTGTCCACTGGAGGGTTGCCTATTCTCCAGTGGATGGCCTCACAACCATGCGCATATAGGCAGCACTAAATGGACTAAGTGGGTTATAAAAAAACTGAAAAAGGCATAAAGTTGAGAGATGAAGTAGCAAGGTGGCCGGGGAGTTGTAGGGGAAGACCTGGAGTGAATATGATTGAAATATATTGCATTACATGTATCAAATTCTCAAAGAAAAAAATATTTTTAAAAGAATAGTTTTAATAAAAATTTCAAATTACTTATTTTATTAAATTTATTTTGTGTTCTTGAACTTTGGCCCTGATACTCTCTAGCAGATCAACACATACACATACATACTCTCTAGAGTATCAACACATACACACACATATGAACATATACAACCACTATCAAATTTTATATATATATATATACAGACGTATATATGAACATATACACCCACTATCAAATGATATATATATATATACATATACAGACATATATACAAACATATACCCAATATCAAATAATAGCCTTATTAAAAATAACCTTCTAAAAGTTTTAAAAGATTCAAATTAATCACATTAGGATTAGGGGCTGGAGAGATGGCTCAGCAGTTAAGAGCACTGACTGTTCTTGCAGAAGACTGGGATTCAAATCCCAGCACCCATATGGCAGCTAACAACCATCTGTAACTCCAGCTCCAGGAGATCCAACCCACTCTTCCATCCCCTGCGGGCACTGCACAACATGGGTGCACTAACACACACACAGGCATAACACTGATACACATAAAATGAAAATAATTCAAATAGAATTTTTAAAAACATTAGGATTGTAAAACATTAGGCCGGGCATGGTGGCGCACACCTTTAGTCCCAGCACTTGGGAGGCAGGGGCAGGCGGTTCTTTGTGAGTTCAAGGCCAGCCTGGTCTACATAGTGAGTTCAGGTCAGCTGGGTCTACAGGGAGACCCTGTCTCAAAAAGACAAAAACAAAACAAAACAAAACATTAGGATTAAATTTATTGAGTATTTACTAAATCTTAAGATACTTGGCTAGATGCTACATTAATGCAAAAATTAATGAAAAGAGCTACTGTCTGCTTTGAAGAAGTCATTTGGTGGTGACATAAAAATGAAAACCAGTGGTTATAATACAGAAAAGTGCAATAAAATGCACATATTGAAAATGAGCTCTTCACTGAGCACCTGTACTTCTTTTAAGGTCCTCACCCATTAATCACCTTTCAAATTTTTACACTCAAATACTAAATTTTCTGTAAATTTCCTAAATTTTGATATTTTGCCATTTCATACTATTACACATATTGTTCCCCCAAACTTGGAGATTTATCTGACCCCGCACACTTTCACCAGTTGATAAATTCTGATTTAAAACAAACAAACAACAAAGCAGGGTATAGCATTATATAACTGAAAGCCAGCTGCTTAGGAGGCTGAGGCAGGAGAATTACAAGTTCAAGGTCTGCCTGGACAACTTAGCAAGACAGTGTCTCAAAAAACAAAACTATTTTTTTTTTGTCTTTTTGAGACAGGGTCTCCCTGTAGCCCCAGCTGTCCTGGAACTCACTATGTAGACCAGGCTGGCTTTGAACTCACAAAGATCCGCCTGCCTCTGCCTCCCAAGTGCTGGGATTAAAGGCGTGCGCCACCACACCCGGCAACAAAACTATTTTTAAAAGCATGACTTTTGCCTCCTGTAGGAAGCCTTCGCTCTCCCAAGATCAAACATTCTACTTGTGTCACACTATGACACAAGGATGTACTTTTGTCTGTTCTCTATGGACTATAAACTGAAAGCAGACTGCAAATTTTTCACCTGTGAATTTCCAACTATTGTTGGCATAGAAGATTTCATAGACACTTATTAAATTGTACCAAATTCATACAGGAGATTTATCTATATATTGCAATGAGGAGGAAAGGGTTTTAGAAACTTCAAAAGGAGGAAATTCTTATGCCAATAGAAGCCTAAGGAGGTTATCTCAAAGGCATAAGCAGTGTACATATATATAGCTGGGCATGGCGGCTCACACCTATGGTCCTATTACTCAGGAGGCTGAGATAGGAGGATTGCCATGAGTTTGAGGACAGCCTGGGCTACACAGCTAGTCCAAGGACTACACAGCAAGATACCATCTCCAGAAAAAAAAGGGAAAAGAAGGAGGAAGAAAAAATATCCATGTTCATATACACTAGAAGAGGTAAATTGTCAAAGCAGCAAAAGAACTGAAGGTACTGGTTAGAGTGCAAGTGAAGTGATTGACCATGAAGTAGGAAAGCAAATGAGGTAAAAATCAGCAGCAGCAGCACAATGCATGCCAGATGGAGCATCAAAGAACTTGAGGCTGAAAGAGAGAAATGCACATAGACGACTTAGATCAGAGTAGTATGTAGCTATGCACATAACTATATACCATAGTATATAGTTAGGCACTCAACAAATGTTTGCTACATGAATGACTAGGATATTGGATGTCTTAAAATAAAAATTTAAAGCTGAAGCACTTTCAGATTATGACAAATTCCAATATATAGCCATCCCCACAGATAACTGAACTGAAAATAAAAGACCCTAGAGTTGGTAAGTAGCATCTATATTATTGGTGAAGGTATTGAAAAGGCTTCAAGGTGATAAAAAAATGAAGACATTTTGCTTACATAGTAAATTTTCTAAGACTATAAAGAATACTTAAAAACTCTTTAGTAAATGAAGTTGTGAGAGGGATATTGACAGATGGGACAGCTTACAAATTTTCCAGTAGTTAAAAAAATAAGAGTCTTGAATGCAACAGAGAACAGTGTTCTTCCTGAACTTTCTAAATATGAGAGAAGGAGCATATTTAGGAGCCACTCAAGTTCCATTTAAAAAGGTATTCAGAGAACTAGAAACCTCCTTCCCTAGTGGAGTGGTATATAATCTTCTGAGGACAATAATCCAAGGCGAGCTAGACTCACCACAGGCACATAATCACAAACTGTATATGCAAATTTTTTCTAGTCTTGAAAGTGATTTTTAAAAAATTATTGAATTTTTGTGTATTTCATTCAGAAAAATCATCTTTATACCTCCTACCCTATTGGCCCCCTTCCATAGGCCCCCCAACTGGAGTTCATCTTTCTGTCATTTGTGTTAAGGCCTATCATGAAAGCTTAGCCTGAAGCTTTTTCTTCCTGTCCTCTAAACAAACCCCATACCACTTAGTTTTCTCACTCTCTTCCACAATCAGGACTGGAAGACTGTCAATTCTGCCAACTACGCCTACCCAAATATCCTTAGCTTCTCCTCATCTTGAGCAAGACTCAGTTCTGAGCTAATCTAGTCATTCATT